CCGAAACTGTGATTGGTGTTAAGAGGAATGGGTAGCAATGCCTCAACAACTCATTGGCAACCTCATATTCAGAATGGACAAATGATGTGAAACCTGCAAAGCAGTCAGGGAAGATCATATTCCCTACTAAAAGAAACTAAAGTCCCCTTTAGTAGGGACTAAAGTAATGTACTTTGCGATAATTGATTCAACAAACAAACAAATGTACGTTGTGTTGTACGGTATTTTTCATTGTTCTAGACTTTCTCAAAATATACGACAGACACTTTTAAGGATGACAGTATAATCGTGTGCTTGTTTTTTTTTTTTTTTTTTTTTTTTTTTTTTGGGGGGAACACAGTAAACTGAGGATACGGGTTTAGGATTGAGGAGTTTGGGGGTAGATAAATGTTATGCGGTTTTTCGTCGGTGAACTATCGTTCAGTTTTTCTAGGGCGCCTGGGCATAGCCCTAAACCAGCAAAACACTTTTTGCACTTATCGAATGTTAATCTAGCATTAAAAAGAATTAAGAAAGATGAATGAAAAGTCCTAAGATAAGCAATTGGAAAATCGAACGATAAGATGGCTTGGATGTGTTCATTATTGATGACGATGAAGACCCGTACAAAAATATACTTTCATGAGAGTAGCAGGAGCTGAGTACCGTGCTGGCGGTATGAACAAAGTCGCGACGCTGAATCAGGTGAGAAGTCGTAAGGCTGGTGCAGGTCGTAGGGAAGGATCGCTATTGGCTGCTAAGGAGTAGGTGATTGGGTACAGTGTGATCCACAGTGTGCTAGGGGAAGGGGACTCTTTTCATTGCCATACTAAGTTTGAAGTATGCCGAATGTAAGGGAAGGGGTAGGGAGGGATAAAGTTATTTGGCCCACTGTTATCTTATAAAGTGAGATAAATAAGTAAAGCTATTATATATATAAATATTTCTTTAGTAAATAAATTATTATTAACTTACTTTGCAGCTATTGCACAAGTAGTAGAATAACTTGATTTCGCACTAAGTGAATTTAAGATCATACAACATTATATATATATATATATAATTATAATACGAAAACTTTCATAAAGCATCTCCAAGGAAGACAAATTCAGTTTAAAAAAACAATGAAAAAAAAATTTTTAGTCAGAATTTTAATAGTAATTTAAATTAGTATTTTAAAAATACTAATTATTCTATTAAAAATTTGACTAAAAATAATTTGTAAATACTAATTTAAATTACTATTAATATTAAAATTCTGACTAAAAAAATTTTTTTCATTCATGGTTTTTTAAATTGAATTTGTGTTCCTTGGAGTGGTATATGGAAGTTTTTTTTATTATTATGAATTATTAGTTTATTACTTTGCAGCTTTAGCGTAAGTCATAGACTTTTAATTCACATTTAATTTCTTTTATTTTGAATATATATATATATATTATTTTTTAATAAATACGTGAAAGATTAGATGTTTATCAATAAATGGTTAGGTGAAGTTGATTATTATTAGTATTATTGAGCTCTTCAAACATTAAGAATATTATATACATTTTTTCCATTACATTTTCTGCAGCTCTGATTTGATCGAGGTATTTATTAATTAAGTAAATCAGTTTCGAAAGTTGAATACCCAAAATAGGTTCGAATTCTTTTATGGCTTTAAAAAGTTCTAAAAATCCTAATGAGTGAATATTTGTGGGAGATTTAGTGTTTTTTATGTGTGAGACAGTGTTTGTTTGAGTGGATTGATCTTGGTTAGTGTTAGCGGTTTGTTGTATATCTTTTGGTGGTTTTTGAGTTTTGTTTGCGACTATTTCAGAATACAGTTTTCTTGGAGTTTGTGGTGTATTTGATTTTGGTTTGGGGAATTTTACACAACCATGGTATGACGTTGGATGTGAATTACTACAGTTTACACAGATTGGGTTTTCGATAAGTCCTTGGCAGAGTGAAGTTTTGTGTTCTCCGTCGTATTTCACCCAAAGTGCAGCAAGGAAACAATTTTCGGTGGAGTGGTACTATTTCTGGCTGTTATGGCATTGTGGTATGAGATTTTTGCTGTTGTTTTTTTCAACTTGAACTATGAATAATGAGTAGTGTGTGAGGTCGTAAATTTTGTCAATATCGGGTGTAGGAAGTAGTTGGACTTTGAATAGTGGCATGGTTGTCTGTTTTCGAAAAGCGCGCGAGCTGACGGGGAGGGGGGGGAAGATGCTAATTTCGATGTTGTTCAATAGTCAACTGTATTTTGTTTTCGGATTTCCATATAAAATTATGCAAAAGGTAATGATAAATTACATAATCTAATTCAGAATTTGGTGGGTTTAGATGTTGTTTTTCCACAATGCGAGTAACATACAAAAATATTCCGAAGTATTTAGTAAGACTCTTGAAATTACTTTAGTTGAATTCATATAATAAATTGTTTCTTCTTTATAATAACTATTTCAGGCTGCTAACCGCGAAAGCGTCTAGTATATCGGATATGATAAGACATCCACGAAAGAAAAGAATTTTTTTTAACTCAAAATAGCACTAATAATAATAATTGGCTTATTATATGCAATTTTTCAACCAAACAACATTGCAAATTTGCTAATCGGCGTAATAATTACTACAAAAATATAATTTTTATTCAAGGTTCCAGGAACTCAATTACTTAAAGAGTATTTTTAAAACGAAAACGATTACCAAGCACTCTAACATATTAACCTCTCTTAGCTCCTAATTACTCAGATACGCGTGCTTGCACCCTATAAAGTAAACACTAAGTATTTCTATTTGCCTCTTCTTAAACTCATAAATTAATACTTATACATCTAAAGAAGCTAAACCATTAGAGAATAGTTACAAATGAAACAAAGAATTGAACCTAATTATATTTTGTACGCCTGCTTGCTTTGTTTATACATCACTGACTACAAATTAACTCTTCTGAGAAATGGTTCCTTTGGTCAATTTAAATTATCTCGAATACTAGCTTTCTGATTCAAAAGAACACGGCATAGAGATTACTAACCTAGACACTGAATACCATCGAAAGGTTGTAGAATCTCAAACAATTCTTAGAATAGCAGTAATCTAATATCTGAATAGTCGGTTTAAGCAAAACTACCAATTATATATTTTCAAGAAGATATTTAGTAGCGAATAAAAAGTTGTAATTCCAGACGAGAAGCCGGAATCAGAGGTGGAAGAAATTTAGAAAAGGCACATTTTAGATGGCTGTCAAAAAAAACACTGTTTGACTTTAATATATCGGCAATTCAAATGGTTTTAAAAACTTTATTAAGACAGAGTTACTTGGATAAATTTTTGAAAAAAAAAAAAAAAAAAAAAAAAAAAAAAAAAAAAAAAAAAACCTTTTGTCTTCAGAGCCCTGAGTGTCATTATTTTCATTTTGCTTAGATAACATCTATGACCCAAAATGAAACCCAACTTAAAATAAATAAAAAAATGGATTATCTCACAAAAACGCGTAAAAGATGAATGATGAATCACACATACAAAATAAATAGATAAATAAAACTAGAAAAAACCTGATATGTTTCAAATTTCAGCATTCGCCCAGAACGGCTCTTTTAAAATTTAACACAGTTTATTACCAGAGATTATCGATACAAATCGAACATTTTATAAGATACTAGATGAATATACATTGAGACTAAAATGAGAACGTTACATATCTTCTGTATTTTTAAAAAATAAAAAAATATGCAACGTTAGAATGAATTAAAGGCATTTTTATTTAAATTAATCTGATTCAAAAGTAAAAAGAATTCTTAAAAACCGCATTTATTGCTTTCAAATAGCTTAGTTTGCGCACCAGTAGCAGAGAGATTAAATTTAAAAGGTAAATAAATATCTTACATTTTGCCGATTGATAACAGACTCGAATGAAAAGTGAAACAACGCATTAAATTGAAACAAAGCAAAACGAGTCTCGAGAGTAATAGCCCTTTTGAACTAATAAATAAATAAATAAAAAGTTTTTATTTAGAACCAAGCATAAGAGGATTAATGAACAAAAAGGAGAAAGTAACTTGTTACGTAGCTTAATGGGAAAAAGATATTAAATAATTCTCTTAACAAATTTCCTCTACAATTTTACATCACAAATACTAAAAGCCAGGGTTATCGTTGATAAGTTTATAAAGATAATGGCTTATATAGATATAAAGATAAATGGGCTACAAGAGCCAGAACGTTAAAGTCGTTGGTAGGTTAGTCCGGGATTTGAATCCCGGTGAACATGTAGGCTGCATAGGCCTTTTCGTGTAAGGAATGTGATGTATAACGAGGATATGAGTGTATTTAGTGTAACGAATGCCATGTGTCACGAGTATACGACCCAGTTTCCCTCAGAACGTCCTCCACGAAGGCATCCATTCCCTTGAGCAGATAGCCCTTGGTGCTTTGCTATTATTAAATAAATTAAACAATATACTTTTGACAATGAAATTCGATTATTCGATTTCGTCATTTAGGCGCCCACTATTCGTAATATAAATCTGTATATGAATTTTGTAAAGAGAATTATTTAATCTCTTGCTTACTACATGATTTATTATTTTTATCCTTTCATTTCATTGAGAATTGAGGAATCAACTTTTTAAAAACAAAATTGGGAAATAAGTTTTTTTTTTTTTTTTTTAAATCTTCAAAGAACCCATTAAAAGTTTTATATTTACTATAAATATATGTCAAAATATAAAAATTAATAAAATAAAAATAAATAAACAGAAACAAAACTGTATAATTGTTTTCAAGAGATCAGTAACAGACATAGAAAAGTCCATGAATCGTATAATATCGGTCCGAAAGCTAATCAAAAATCCCAGCTTCATGAAGAGGATTATTGCTAAAGTAGTTGGTCTGATCTATCCTATATAAAATCCATAATTAATGCAGTTTAAAGAACTTCTCATAGGGTACATTTTTAAACATATACAGTAAATAATTTATCAGAAAAGAATGTTTAAGTTGGGAAGGACAAATAGAAAATAAATAATTATAATTACACGGCAGCCTGGAGGCGGGACGGGGGTGAAAACCGCTTGGGACTGGTCAGTTTTCTTTGGCACAAAAGGGGTCTCAGCATGGCAAAATGTTGGGGACCACTGCCTCAAATTACACCTCCAGTCCTGCAATCGGAATTACAAATTCAATTAAAATCAGATTTAGCGATCACTATTTATAGGGGCGAGAAAGCAGAAGAATCAAGAAAAGATTGAAAATATAGCATTAAAAAAGTTCATCATATTTATTTAATGAATATATGAGACACCTATAATAAATATCAATACTGAAGAAAAAGATTTTAAATTAACTACCGATTTCTGTTTTAAATTCAGTAATAACGTTTTCGTCTTTCTTCACAACTCAACCCCACTCTACAAGTAAGCAAATTTAATTAATATCTAGATAGGAATGTCAAGCTATGGTATTTCTGAAATCTTCAGTCCTGCGCTAATTTTGTTAGCATCATTAGTTGGAAATCGGATGTCGACACTGCGATAAGTCAATTTAATTTGTTAGCATTATGTTAATTAATTTGTGTCAATTCTTAAATTATTGTGACTGATATTCGAATGTGTTAGTGTTCAAATTTGAGTACTTATTACCGAGTTCCATAATTACTACTGTAGTCTTTAGAAGTTGTTAAGTTTTAGTTCATTTTTTTAATCTCTGTCTACAATTTATAGATTTTTAATAGTTACGTTAATTGATTTCGTTTCCTGCCATACTGAATCCATACATTAAAATTTAGATATTTTTTTGTATAAATACTGTATAAACAACAACCACAATTGCTTTTTAATTGAAAATTCTCCAGAATGAACATAGCGTGTCATCAATCATTTTCTCCAACAATATAAGCGGTTGCAGTTTGATTCCACAGTTTGACCATGAACTGAAGTTATTCTGTTGCAGTAAAATTACGTTTTAATCGTTCAACGATTGGAAAATGAAGTTATAAGGACTTTCTCTATTAAGTGAGATATATATTAAAAAAAGATTCGCTACGAAGAAAGTAATCCAGAAATGATTTACGGAAAGATTTCGTTATGATTTCGATTTATGAACAAACCGCTTCGTCCCCGCAGACGACTTCTGGAACGATCGTCACCTGATGTCACAGAATTCCAACCGATTCTCATTCTGCAGATGGCTAAGTCACTGTAAAAACGTCTGTGCACCAATAAAAGTGACATTCGGCAAAGAAACCAGACGATAGTTAAGATAACCTGACATTTTCCAGACAAGTTATAGTTAAGAAAGAAGCAAAAGCCTCTTAGAATGACTTTCAATAAACAACGGTACGCATCAAAATGCTGCAACACATACAGTCTTAAACATCGAAAAAACATAACAAGCCAATGGCGATGACGATGAACTACCAACACTCGAAAGCGCAATGGGAAAATGCACACCTGCGGTAATTTTTTGCGCGAACGTTTCTTTCCATCTCGAAAACACACAAGCACGCTCCAATTTTCTATACAACACGCAAACCGCAACCGTGATTCGAAAGAAATTCGAAACGTGCTTTTTTCGGCGATGTATATCTAGCAGTCGCATCTTTACTCATATATATATAAAGATTGTACTTCGTTTTCTGTTCTTCTTTTCTTCTTCCGAAAGCCCTCTGTTAGATTCTGATAACTGCACGCCATCGGGAAGTTTTAAAACACGAAATGTTCTTTTATAAGCAGCCTAAACACATGTTATATCATATACGTTGAGGAGAAGATAAAAAGAGATTACATTAATCGCTGCAAATGGAAAACAAATTACAAATTGTTTAAATATAAACAAAGCGTTCGTTTTTAACTCTGCCCACTTTCCCAGCTGAGAAAAATAAGCAAGTTTAAAAAAAAGTCGCTATCTGATCTTTCAGGTGCAGTTTGATACGTGAAAGGTATTCTTACGAAGTACCACCCTTCTATAGTAAAACGTGCAAATCCATCAAAATATCCAATTCGAATTCTTTCACAATAAAAAGTGTTTACTGGTATCTTTGCATAGCATGTAAACTTTCAAAAATGGAAATTTAATTATTCTTACCATGAGTAACAGTTATTGGTCCATATACACTATAAACAAGGTTAAATTAAATTCAATGTATATGGCACAACACACGAGGGCTAGCTGCCCGAGATAAGAGGTGCGTTTTTTTTTTTATTTAAAGAAAAATAAATCCTCGTGCACCACAAAGTATCACACGAAAGAGGTGCCTTTATGATGGATTTTTTTAATCATTAAAATTTCCAAATCTTCTTATAATACTACTAATTAATTTGCCACCCAGACGGTATAGCAGATAGTGAGGCAGACTGCCGTATCGATGGGCCCGGGTTCGAATCCCAGAGAAGGCATGGATGTTTGTAAGTTTGTAGTATCTGCGTGGCAAGGGAACATTCAAAACACAAAGTGAGCCGGAAGTTCTCTCCAGTGGTTGGTGGTACGAGAAGAGGTATGAGAGACCCTCGGAACGCCTCCCGGGGTATTTTCCCTGAATACTGAGGCGCAGCTGCTCAGTTAGTGTGGTAGGACTATAGCTGTACAACCCTATAGTAAAATTCCTGTGTCTCATCCACTTGTGCCTGTAATAATTAATTTATGGCAAAAGTATTCATTCCATGTAAAAATACTCCGGAGGTCGCCAGTTTGTTGAAGTCAGACGTGATAATAACAATAATAAATTTTATTAACTTTTGCCGCAGGGCACCTGTTATTATTATTATTATTATTATTATTATTATTATTATTATTATTATTATTATTATTATTATTATACATCAGAGAACAGGGGCTCCGTTGGCTATTATATTTAATGAAGCTAATAATTTACATCTATGGCATTATAAATAAAAATTTGGTAAACAACGTATCGCGTCAGAGAGACCACCATGCCAATGTTAACATACTTTTTTTTTTACACGCAAGGAAATTAGTAAGCGCACCTTTGAGAAACATGGAAAATAGAGATTCTGAAAAGGCACTTTTAACCCCTTAACCTACACGATATCTGCCAATTGCGCGAGCTATAGTAAACAAGAAAGTCGGTCGCGCGCAGTGCTATTCATTTGTTCAACTGTGTACCCGAACTGGTGCGAAACGTATACTTTTCGTGATATATATATTTCAGTGTAACGAAAGAAACTGTGAAATAATAAACAATGTTTAGGTAAAAATAGTAATTTTAAGACGTCTAGGGTGTAATCATAATCAATTCATCAGTTGGCAAAAATAATTGCATGATGGGTATAAGAGTTTTTTAATTCTTTATACGAAATTATATTTGAAACGTGTGAACGTAACGAAGCTTTACGAGGAACTAAAGTAAAAGATCATCCAGTTTCGTCAGAAACAAATCAAAAAAAAAAAAAAAAAAAAAAAAAATACCGACGTTACAATCAAAAGAAAAATATTCGATATAGAATAACTCCAATAACTTGTTCTAATAATATTAAGCGGTATTTTATGCACAACAAATTCACCACCAAGAGTCAGACTGGTGGATTTTGTTTATGACACAAATTCTTTACTACGAGTCAGACTCGTGGTTATAAGCCAAAGGGTTAAACCAACTAACTAATCGCAGAAAGAAACATTCGATCTTTATTAGTCACGATATGCAAAGAGATATAAATAATTGTATCTGTAAGACAGTGCACAAAAGACACAGATGAGTGATCACAAAAAACACTGGAGAGAAGACGAAAAACATATTTCTAACTCTACAGTTGATTTAAAATGTTCTTTTCAGGCGTAAAACCGGAATTTGAGGAATAACAAGCATTACCCCTTTTAACTCCTTGCACGGAGTTGCAAGTATTGTAATCGCCAAAAATTTCGGTTACCATATTTTAACATTATTAAATTATTATTATTAAGTAGGGGGGGGGGGGGGGGGGGGGGGGGGGGGGGGGGGGGGGGGGGGGGGGGGGGGGGGGGGGGGGGGGGGTGGGGGGGGGGGGGGGGGGGGGGGGGAGGGGGGGGGGGGGGGGGGGGGGGGGGGGGGGGGGGGGGGGGGGGGGGGGGGGGTGAAAAAAAAAAAAAAAAAAAAAAAAAAAAAAAAAAAAACAAAAAAAAAAAAAAAAAAAAAAAAAAAAAAAAAAAAAAAAAAAAAAAAAAAAAAAAAAAAAAACAAAAAAAAAAAAAAAAAAAAAAAAAAAAAAAAAAAAAAAAAAAAAACAAAAAAAAAAAAAAACAAAAAAAAAAAAAAAAAAAAAAAAAAAAAAAAAAAAAAAAAAAAAAAAAAAAAAAAAAAAAAAAAAAAAAAAAAAAAAACAAAAAAAAAAAAAAAAAAAAAAAAAAAAAAAAAAAAAAAAAAAAAAAACAAACACAAAAAAAACATTATTGACATTATTAAATTATATGTACATTTTGACCATACCGAATCCACTTGGAAAATTCTTTTATGCGACATCTGTACGTACGGACAGAATAAAGGACTATTATTTTTTTCAAAACCTATTTTTATAGACAAAATAGCAAAATTTATAAACAAAATAGTAAAAAATTTAGAACCTAATTCACAAAGACATGAAAGAAATGAAATACAAAAGCAGTAAAATTCCACAATTTCCAAATAAAAATTAAAAAATAAAAAAAAAAAAAAAAAAAAAAATGTTTACAAACCAGAATTATTCCCCAAAAGAACAGTAATATATAAAATAGGAAGAGAAATACAATTTAAATCTGATTCAACGGTTATCAAGACGAAGTTAATATGATCAGATTCAAGTGAATCCCTCCTCCCAGGAAAATCACTGCGTTTCTGTTCATCCAAAATTAGTCTATGACCAATCTTAAATTATCTAATTATAATAGTTCCTACGAAAATTCTGAACGCCTCCGTTGAATCAAATTTTAATTGTATATCTTTTGCTATTTTATATATTTCGGTTGTTTTGGGGAATTTTTGTGGTTTGAAAACACTTAGTTGATACATTTTTATTGGGAAATTTTGGGATTTTACTGTTTTTGAATTTCATTTCTTTCATGCCTTTGTGAATTAGGTTCTAAATTTCTTACTATTTTCTCTCTCTATATATATATGTAGACAAAATAGTAAGAAATTTAGAACCAAAACCACAAACACAAGAAAGAAATAAAATTTAAAAATCATTAAATT